TGCGCATTATTGAAGAACGTACACGTACCTAGATGTTCCATTGCTTGTTGATACTCAGAGTCGTGGGACAGAATAGCTACGGAACATGCCGCAACGTTGGGATAAATAACGCGCCTAGTCCATCACAACAAAATTTTCCGTTTCTCCACACAAATTACTCTTCTCGCTACGATCAAAGTCTGCAGTCAAATCCGCAAGAGGCGCCACTTTTGCCAGACATTTTTGTTGCGAAGTCTTTCCGGCAAAGACAAGGGAAATCTAGGCAGTCATGCCTGCTCTGGCTGTCATCCAACCACGTCGCTTGGGACCGAGCGACCTTAAAGTTTAAACCGAGTTCAGTCCCGTGCTTTTGTCAGCAGTTCCCTCTAGCTGTCGGTTGGTCTTCGCTGTCTGACCAGGCCACAGCGGAATGCTCCTATGTCGTCTTGCAATCAGAAGCGACCACTAAGCTTCACTCGTACATGACTTGGAATATTACTCCTTAAAAAGCCGTTAGGATACGAGCAGATGATGGCTTACTCGGGGAGCGTAAGTGATCAGCTCGACCCGAATGTAGTTAGCAGGGCTTCCTGGTCAGGAGTTGGGGATATTTTTTGGCTGACGTCAACACGTACAGGAAATTCTATATCTCACGTAACGTCAATCGACATTCTGAGATGCGTTTTTACTTCCAAGATTGTACTACTGATTATCTTATAACCAAATCTCACGATTTTTCAATCGGACCCGAATGCAGGCTTTAGAAAGAACTTCTCGACCACCTTTCTTACCCTTGTAAATTCAAATATATTTTATAGAAAAGTGTACTATAATAATCTTCCTTGTACTCGTTTGAAAGAAAATTACACAATTTTTTTCAAATTGTGCATTTAAAGACCGGACATCGTTCGCTTTTAGGAAAAGCTTATAATTATGAGATTTGTACAATCGTTGAATGTTTATTCGGAATATATCGTATCCATCAGTGTTTTAAATCCGTTACAAACTTTTATAGGACATATGTGACCTCTTATTCATATCGTAGGGAAATATGTAATTTTTTAGGCAGGATGTATACAGCATGTATTATGGAAATATTGAAGTCATGTATTACTCAACATTATTCGGCAAAATAGAAACTGTTTTTATAACCGAAATATATCCTTGTTACTGGGACCAGTACATATCCTCGGGTTCTTTCATGTCTTTTCTGGAGTCTAACTCCCGGAACCTTACTCAAAATGCTTTAAAAGGTTCCCTAACTTGTCATAATAGCACGCAGCGGTCATTCAATATTTAACGAGGTAGTATTTTCCGCACACCCCTTCCCCACTAAACGGCCATTCCAGTGCAAGAGATGGCACAGGACCATTAACTCTGAATATCGGATTTCCGGTTTCTTCAGGCGCCGCAACTGATTGCCTGGATAGCCATCTCCCTCTTCATAAAAGACCCCTGTCTGCATTATGGATAGAAATGGGCTGCTACGGTTTCTTAAGCCCGTGAGTAGCGTTCAACTGCGAAACACCATTCGAGCTTTTTCACACACTTAAATCAGATGTTTTTTGTCACATAAGAGTGATGGGCATGTATACGTACTTACGGTTCAGAGTGCATATGCGAGCATGGTTCATGTTGAATACTTCACCAGAAGTTTAGTGTTTGCCAATTTTTTTGCAAAACTCTGTACAGGAGATAGGCCGACCTTCCATTAGTACTTCGGTCCTGCTCCAGGCATCGAGATAGGCTGTCGTATAAGTTGCAAGACATCAGTATGTACTGGTCCTCTTCTCAAATTTAAACGCAACTTGTTTGCAAAATTTAAATTGATCCGTTTAGTTTAAGATTCATTTGGAATGTCATGACAAGCTGGACACCTTTCCGAATTTTGAAAATGCGCAAACTTCGAATTGGAGGTCTTGACATGTCCCACTGTGGTCTTCCCGTTATAGATGAGTTATGTTATAATAGATGTCGTCGGAATTATCACTGAACCCATAACTTTGGCGCGTTTAAAGCCTTCTTTATCAGAAAACAGAGTATAGTCAACTTTGTAGGTTTCGTTGGATAGGTTAGGTGACGACTCAAGGTACACTGTATTTATTTTCCCTGGTTCTCCCAGTTGTCAAACCCCCGGATCGTTCATTCCTGAGGTTGGCATCATCGTGCAGGTTATTATCAACAAATATTTTCGTCAAATTAGGATGTCGGATTTTGAATAAGCTTTTTCCTATCAGCCTGCAAAAATATACCCTACAAAAAAGGGCTACTTAAGTAGGGGGCATTTTTCTTATTTATTTTCGGGGTCTTTGTTTTGAAAACTGACACGAAAACTGCATACTACTTAAGTAGCCATTTTCATAGATTATAATTTTTGCCGGCAGTCAGAGAGCAGCTCATTTCAAAGCCAACATCCTGGGGTGAACGGTATACCTCGCTCATAGGCTGCACACTAATCAATATTACAGTCAAAGTTGTTCGAATCTAAAACACATTGCAGAATTTCGGTCGACGTTTCACGAGAGGACACATCTACTACTTTTGCTCATGGCAGTAGATCGCAGTTGCGGTCCAAAAGGCCGTGGTCTTATGCAATCCTGTAGTCAGGTCAGGCCTCTGAACACCAAGCTTACGCGACCTTCGTCTGGTATGTCTTTTTTGCCTGCCTCACATCCCACCAGCTGTAACGTAGATCTCAGGGAACCTTCATCGATTATACTTATCCACGCCCACTTAACGATAGTACCCTTTTTCCTTTCAGGACAATGACAACCGTCACCCAGCTTACGCCACCACCACCAGCCTGCTCTGGAGGCCTCATCGAGTTCGCCTCCTACACAGGAAATGCAAACCACAGTTTCGTCGATGTCTTTGTACCCTGCACTCTACACGAACCCAGCACTTGGCTTCTACTTGTCATTCTCCTCGCGGTCCTTCTTCTCACATTCACCCTCCTAGTCTCCTGCTGCTGTTCGGCAGTTAAAAATGCCAGCGTAAACAGTGTCTTAGCTAGCACAACATCCCGCGGCCAGCTGTTGGAAGTGGAGGAGTTGGAGGAGGGCACAGGTTCAGAGCCGTCCGAACAAATCGAACTGAGTGACCTTGAAAAACTACAACAACAACGACAGCAACAGCAGGAAGTTCAATTGATCCTTGTAGGTGCTACACAGCCGAGACCGACAAAGTTCAGCGAAAAACTGCTTGCTCTTCTACGTCATCCCTTCTTTGCAGTCATCCACGTGGAGTCTAAAGGTCTCTTCACTTTCCTGGGTTTGAACCGGACTAACTCTGCCCGGAGTGATTTTCCTTCCCTTCTCA